ACAGTAGATAAATTAATCTTGATTTGGCTTTTTGATAGCCATGGAGGAATTTTAAGAAGAAAGATCCTATTTCAATAGAAGTTGTTAAAGCTAAAATGGTTTCTTTCCCTTCCACCGGACCATTTGTTAAGCGTATAGGGATAGTTCAGTTGATAGTTCTATGTGCCCAGTACGGGCCTCTAGCAACGTTGAAATAGAAATGCAGTCCATCTCATGATTGAGCCGGAAGTTCCAAGACAAAGGGGGGAATGAAAGGGCGAGGACTACACCCTCCATCTTACCCTGGGTCCTCCATTTTTGGGCAGCCATGTGCTCAGCAAGGCTTCTTCCAGGAAGCCCAAGCCTCTGCTAGCCACACCCAGGATTTCTTTAAACTAACCAATGACAATCAAGGGAAGTGCACGCCATAGATATGACCACATCTTGTGTAACGAGATACCGACTTGCGCCTGGCCAATCGGCAGGGCCCACAGTCCTCTCTCCTCCCCTTACTATAAAACCTCTCTCCCCACAGGGCTGGCTCTCTCTCTGCCACTTGCTGCTGTGTCAGTAAGGAGGGTAGGGGAGCCAAGCCCGGGTTTGAATAAAAGACTCTCTGCTTTTGCATCGGACTCGGCTGGCTCCCTGGTGTGGTCTCTTGGGGATCCTGAAATCTGGGCATAACAGATAGCATTAGGCATATGACAACTTGCTATTAGGCCAAAAATTAATGATATGTTTCCCAATAATTATAAAACACTTTCAAAATACTAGAAATTGATAAATATGCTTTTTACTTTTATGAAAATCCAGAATATTATACTTTAAAGTGCTATTTTTATAAATGCTTTATTAGCTTTCTCACTGTTCTCAGAAAAAAAAACTAAAAAAAAACCTAATCTTTTTGTTTTCCTTGTCAATTATGAGAAATCTTTTGAACTCACCACTGAAAGAAAGCATTAAGAGTTTGTACATGGTAGTGATATTCAAAACATTTTATTTTACTTTTGATAGCTTGTCATGGCATAATCAAGACTAGGAAGAAAAAGGAACAAAATGAAACAGGGTCAGCCAATAGTTATGCTTTCTGACTATGAATAAGACTAATTGCATCTTTGGATTTGTTTTTGAGTTCTTTCTTTAGAATAAAAGTTTGAAAACATTATGTAGGAGCACTTCCCATTTCTTCTATTTACTTTTTTTAACTCAATATAGCATTTAATGAAGTAATACTTTAGCAAATTTTAAAAACACTTTTTTTTGTTAAAGTTAAGAGGAGTTTTTATTGGCTCATCTGTTTGCTTCATTTTGCTTTGGTGAAGAAACAAATTTAATTTTTTTATTTAATAGCTTTGCATTTTATAGGTTGTCTAAGATATTAGTTAGGAACACAATTTTCAAATCAACATAAATGTTTATGTTGAAGGCTCTCTGCCTAATATATGGTGACAGAAGAAAATTTGACTTTAGGTGGTGGCACATGGTTCAGTGTACAGATCTTGTGTCCTGGAGATCTATACCTGAAAATGAGGAGGAAACTGGTCTTGCAAGGCATCTCAAGCCATAGAAACTGTGAACAATGAACTGCCCTGGGAGGGGGGGAAGGTCGTTATCGCTGGCCCCAGGACAGATCATCAACACCTGGGGGCCTTCCTCCAGGGCCACGAAGGGGCAGGGGCATATCTGCAAGACAAAGACCCCAGCAGGATATATATATATAGACAGGCTCTCTGCATGTTTCCTCACTCCGATTTGGAAATTACTCCCCGAGTCCACTAGTGTTAATAAACGGGGTCCCACCCTTTCTCTAGGAAGCGTGCTTGGTATTTCTTTGCTCTTCTGTAACAAAACCTGTATGATCCTGTTGACCAATGTCACCCCAATAAATTTAATTTTAGAAAAAGAAGGCTCCTTGATCTTCTACTCTTAGGCTTTTGAAACAAATAGACCTGACAAAGTGTATTTTCTCTATACCAAACTGCACTTACACTCTCCTGAACTCTTTTTTCAATTAAGCCTCAGCTTTTGGACTTCCATGTTTATCTTTGCATTATCTAATTTTAGCAAAAATTCTGCTAATTCAGTTTAGTCAGACTACCCCATACTCCCTATTTGATAACCATTAACATTTAATCCGGTTCCTCATCTTCTTCCAATCTCTAGGTCAGTGATGGCGAACCTTTTGAGCTCGGCGTGTCAGCATTTTGAAAAACCCTAACCTAACTCTGGTGCCGTGTCACATATAGAACTTTTTTGATATTTGCAACTATAGTAAAACAAAGATTTATATTTTTGATATTTATTTTATATATTTAAATGTCATTTAACAAAGAAAAATCAACCAAAAAAAATGAGTCCGCGTGTCACCTCTGACACGCGTGTCATAGGTTCGCCATCTTTGCTCTAGGTGATGTCTGATCACCCTGGCCTGCCTTTAGCAAGAGTCCTGTTAGGTTGGTTTAGCCAGATTCTCCCATTAACTCTGATGCTTTCTGTTAGTAATTTTTCATCCACCAACTCATACCCTGCTCCTTACCTATAAAATTCCACTTACCCATGCTGTGCCCCCCATTGGGGATCAAGCCCCTAACCGAGGCATGTGCCCTGGCTGGAAATTTAACCTTAACTACGTGGTTCATAGGTCAATGCTCAACCACAGAGCCACACCAGCCGGGCCCATGCTGTATTTGGAATTAAGCCTGGTGTTATTTTTATTTTATATCACAATAGTCATGAGTAATATATATTTTTACCACTTTCTGTCCAACTCTGCTTTATTTTTGATACAACTCTACCATTATGTTCATATATTCAATCTCCAAATGGTATTACTTACCTCACCCTTTCATTGAGAAAATGCTTGGAACTACCCATCTACCCACCTCAATCCACATCCATACAATATTACTGGACAGGGACCAGGTCTGTAACACGTCTACCTCAGCTTGAGCCTGTAGTTGTTGTAATGTACCCCGCGAATCACAGAAGGATGCCTCAAGAAGTCGAATTAAAAAGTCATGTTTATTGCAATCCGGGACTATGAGGTGTCATTCCCAAATCTCATAGTAGCCATTTCGTCACAGGTCCAGGATTATATAGGCAAAAAAATCACACAGGTGTTGATTACATCTCAGGGTTTGGAATGAAGCACCTGGCTCGCAAAAAAGCAGATTACAGAAGCAGAATTAAGCATGTTAATTACAGTTTCAGGTCTCGGGGTCACTGAATTGACAGAAATACATTATCTAGAGCCCTTGGGTCTCCTGACCACTGAGTTGTCAGGACAATTTAGAGCAATTGTGCTGTTCTGGTCTCGGGACCACTAAGTCAGCTGGAACGCACCACCTGTGGCCACTAAAACAATTTAGGGTAATTGTGCTGTCCTGTTTCCCAGGTACAGAAGAATGTGCTTCAATAACCAGTAAGATCACAATCAATGGGATAGTCATTCAATCAATAAGGCATTCAATCGAATGGGATGATTTATACAATTCAGAAAATCAAAATAACCTGTCCATTGTTAAACAAAGCAAATAGGTACCATACTTCATAGTGTGTGGGTTCTGGACTTCTTGTAGTAAAGATTTCACAACATGTGTCTAGGTGATTTAGGGAGTACATTAATTAAAGCTGGGGACAGTGAAACAAAGAAAGGTCTTAGAGTAGAAGATGCAACAGGAGAGATCCTAGGTGGTGCTCTGTTCTGGGTCTCTAGAAACATTACAAGGAAGAAATGAGCCAAAGTGGGGCTGCTGTTTGCTCACTGGGAAGTGAAGGTCACAGTGAAAGAATTAAGCCAAGGCAGGGTTGCTTTTAGTTGACTGGGAAGTCAGAGAAAAGGGGGGCCTTGGAGATAGAATCAGGAGATGAGCACAGAATAAGATGCTGCTGCCCATTGCTCCCCTGTTTACAAGTACCATGGGGACCCTTAGAGTTTAGGAGAAAGTAAAAAGTTCATGCTAGAGAAGGGGCATGGGTTTGCTCTAGAACAGCGGTTCTTGTTATGGGTTGACTCAGCGAGATAAACCACTGACTCAGAATTTAAATTTAAGAGCCTTTATTAAGCTGGCCAGTTGACTACAGTTATAGCACCCTGCCGAAGCAGAGGCTGAACTGCAGCGCA